TATCATTATGTTGTTGCTCCGTAGTGGTACTGTGTTGGAATCTATAAATGAGCCCTTCATCGTCTTTTACCTGATCTATAGAGTTGGACTGTGAGGAGAATAATGGTATATTCTCTGAAAAGACTACATTGACTGATACTATATATTTATTGAGGTATGAAGAGTAACATCAATATTCCTTTTGCAAGCGAGAATATTCCAAAAAAACACACCTCAAGACTTTAGGATCCAACTTAGTAATACTGAGTCGCATATCTCGAACATAACAGGTAGTACCAAATACCCGTGATTGTACTGGAAATAATGATTTGTTTGGAAAAAGAATATTGTAAGGAATATCACTTTCAAGTACTGTAAATAGTAAATGATTAATTAAGAAACATGCAGTGGATACAACATCTGCCCAGAATTGCTTAGAAACTTGTGTCTGGAATGAAAGAACTCGAGTAGTATCAAGTAAATGTTTGTTCTTTCTTTTAGCAACTTTGTTTTGAGATGGTGTATCAACACACGAAAACTGATGAAGATTTACATGTTGAGTCATATAATTATGAATTGAATTTGACACATATTTTTAGCATTATCACTTCTTAACACATGCACAGACACATTAAATTATGTTTTGATTTCCGCATGAAAAGTACAAAAATGAGTAAACACTTCAAAACGATTTTTAATAAAGTATATTCAAGTTATTTGAGAAAATCATTCATAAAAGTAACAAAATACTTAAACTCTATTTTCGACATAACAGGACATGGACCCCGTATATCAGAATGACCTAATTCATAAGCAGCCTTAACTCGTTTATTAATTATTGGACTCGACGAGTTACAATGATGTTTTGCAAATTAACATGACTCACAATCTAATGAAGATATATCATGAAACTGATGACATAATTTTTTTAACACAGTGAGAGATGGATGTCCCAACTGACAATGTGTTTCAAATAGAGAGATCACATTAGAGCAATCAATTGGTTAAAACACCCAACTATCAAGAATGTAGAGATCTTCTGATACATGTCATTTACTAATAATTTACTTCGTCATAAGATTCTGAAAAAGACAATGATCAGGCAAGAATGAGATACAACAATTAAGTTCTTTAAGAAGTGTACTTACAAAAATCAAATTGAAAGCAAGTTTAAGTATACTTAAAACAGATGTCAGGATAATGAAGAGAGTTAGTTTTATAGTCCCAGAACCGTCAATATTTTAGTTTGACCCATCAACAATAGTAACAGGAGAGGGTGCTCTGTGTGATCAAAAGTTCGAGAAGATATTAGGATTATTTGTCATGTGATTTGTATCATCAGAATCAATCATTCATTTGTTTGATGAGCAGATAAGACATCTTTTACCTGATTCAGCAGAAGTAGTGGTTGGTAGATATTTTTTCAAAAATTCTTAAAACTGAAAAAATCTTGCATAATCATCAACTGAAACCATAATAGTTTTCGTAGAAGAGTAGTTAGCAGTAGTAGCTGTTGCAATATTAGCAGTCTGTGTTTTCTGATTCCAATTCTGTAGTTTCTTTGAAACTATAATAGTTTTCTTAGAAGAGGAGCTAGCAGTAGTAGTAGTTGCAATATTAGCAGTTTGTGTTCTCTGATTCCGATCTGTAATTTCTTACATTGCCGCTTTATGTCTCTATTCATGACAGTAATAACAAATAATATTATTTGAATCATTTTTCCGACTATTCATTGCTCTGTTTCTTCCCCTGTTATTATTTCTTTATCCTCTGGCAACAAGAACATTAGGGTGCTGATTGGGTGTAGTACTATCTGTGCGTAACACCCTACTGAAAACTTTCTGAAGAGATGTGATCTTGAAACCAGATAAAATTTGAGATTTAGCAGTCTCAAATTCAGGTGGAAGACAAGCCAAGAAGTTCATTATGATTATCTGCTCTCTCTGTGTTTGCAGTACCTTGATATCAGTACTAAACGTTACAAGTACATTAAGTTTCTCATAAGTCTTTTTGAATTCTATAAAGTAAGTTGTGAGAGATTTGACTTCCTTTTCAGCACGATAGAAGCCTTTATAAACATCATACATGCGGGACACATTGCTTTTTCCTGAATATAGAAATTCTAAATAATACATCAGTTCTTTAACAAATCGCAGTGATTAATTAAGGATAGAGGTTGCTGCATTGAAGAGAGGATAAGCATTTCTCAAAAAAAAAATGTGTACAATCTCTTGACTGAAACCAATATGCTAGGATGCAAACTGAGTGATACGCCGTTTGAGGTAGGGAAGATGGAAGAAGGTGGAAAACAAGTTGAAACAGGTAAGTATCAAAGATTAATTCTCAAACTAACCTACTTATTACATACTCGACTAGATATTTCCTTTGCAATCAATGTATGTACTTACTGTCAAAAACTCACTTATTGTTGTTTACAAGATTCTCAGCCTAGGAAAGAGCTTATTCTTGAAGAAGATTGAAACCAAGGGAATATGAGTTTTTACAAATATAGATTGGTGGCAAATCCAACAAAATATAGAAGATCTATTACCATTGCAAGTTTTTAAGGAGAATTTGGTCACTTGGAGGAGTAAGAAACAAAATGTGGAGGTGAGAAGTAGTGTTGAAGCAGAATTTAGAACAATGACACATGGAAGTAGTGAAGAACTATGGCTAAAAAAACTTTTGGAGGAGTTTCAAGTAGAAGCCAAGTTATCGATAAAACTCTATTGTGACAAGAAATCCGCCATTAGTATCTCATTCAATCTTGTACAATATGATAGACCGATATGTGGAAGTGGATTGACATTTTATTAAAGATAAGGTAGAATAAGGTATTATCTACATGACATATGTGCTTATCAAAGAGCAAATTGTAGGCATCCTCATCAAAGGTATTCCTTGACAAAGTTTTAATAGTTTTTTAGCAA